AAGCTTCACAAGTACGTCGGTACGCAAATGCGCTTTGTGACACAAGTGACGGTACGCATTTCAGATTATTGCCGCGCATGCCCACCTGCGTACCACTTATGTGCACCCCTGTCTATATGTTCATATCTTGAGGGTGTTAAAGGTGTTTGACCCATAGAAGATGTTGTGTGTAAGGTGCTGTTTNCCTCTTCCCGCTGCTCACAGCCTTCACGCAGCAGTTGTGGTCTCCCAGCGTGAAATGTGTCTCTGTGCCATCCTCCACAAACTCCCCCTGCATGTGCGAAATCAGAAAAGAAAGCAGACAAAGAGAGAAATTGTTTAGTTCCGTATGTTCAGCTCTGGTGATGCTCTATATGTTCATATCTTGAGGGTGTTAAAGGTGTTTGACCCATAGAAGATGTTGTGTGTAAGGTGCTGTTTATACAACTGTTGATTTCAATTTTCCTTGCCACCACATTTTAAATTACTTCTGCGGTGAATACTTTTAATGCATATCAAGTCAGTATGTACTTACTGCAGTCTCAATGTTTTGTCCATTACACCAAACATCCATGGTGTCTTTCTCTGAAAAAAAAAGAAGAGATAATGTCAATCGTATGTAAAAGTGTATCAGAGTCAATTAGAATCAGGATCATTTATTTATTAACCCACGGTGAAATTAAAAATTATAATCAAATAAAGATATTCGTATAAACATAAGAAGTAAAAGTAAAAATACTCTACACAAAAGGAAAATATTAAAATAAAATAGATTACAAATTATGTGTACAAAAAACAAGAACTTCCAGTAAAAAAGTGTAATAAAAATTTAAAATAAAATAGATCAAAAACATTTATATAAACATAAAGAAGTTTAGTTTGTTTCAAAGGCTTCCAGTGTTTTACAGAGTATACCACATTGACTACGTTAACGTGATATGTATTTAATAGATAAATGGATAAAAACCGGATAATATAATATTCTGTAAATATAAAATAATGTGAAAGGAGCCATTCTTCATACTGGGAACTTTCACTTTAATCCTTTAAAAACATTTCACTGTTCACATTTCACTTCATATTATTCTGAGTATTTTAAGAACATGGTATTTATATTTGTACTTAGGTTAAGGATCAGAGTACTTTATCCACCTCAGCTGCTGTTACATGCACATATTTCTACCAGTTCAGTAAGTTATTTACATTGGTAAGGGTTGAAATGTATACATATTTACTGCACACTAATGTACAGTTTAAATATGTCGTGCATGCTACGGATGGCTGCTGCCTGATCAGCTGTTAACAGTACAGTCAGAAGAAGGATTAACATGTCCAGATGACAGAGTTGTCTGAAGATGGCGCTGGGTTTAAAGCTGCTAAAGAGCTTATCCTCAGCAGCAACATTATATTAGTGGGTAGTTCTGAATGGGTGGAAATCAATGCCACACATACATTCAAAGCTTATCCGGATTGATTGTGTTAACAACGTATACATCGCAGACACTAATGAATTTATCATTAAATGAGGACAGTGTGTGAATAATATAGAAACTCACCCAGCACCACCCTGCTGTCAGTACCGTCCAAGTTAAGAACCCAGGTGCTGGTGACCTTTGACCTGTTTTCCATGTACTTCTTCAGGCTCTTCCCGTTGATCTCCAATGTGTACTCATAGGCAAACCCGCTGACTGCATCAATGTTTATGGTGGCTTTGGTGTCCGACTTGCCCACATTGAATGTCTCCTTCCCCACAAGTTTGAACATCCAGTCCCGTCTCAGTAACTCCTGAAGTGTGATGGAAAAAATCAGGAATGAACAGCTGTAATTATAAGTTGTCATGATAATAAAATAGTCCTCTCTTTCACGTGGTCTTAGCAAGTAGGACGATTAGGGATGTGTAACGGGAACGAGAATGATCCATACCTTCCCATCTACCAAGATGACCCTCTTCCCGGTGGTCGTGCCGTGTTCAAACTCTATCCTGTGGACTCCATCACTCAGTGCCACCTCCCACACACCGGCAAGATCATTCGACATTGTTCCTTCTTCTTCTATGGACAAACGACAAAACTAGACTTCTAAATGTCGAGGCAAATGCATGACTGTTTTACGCTGTTTACCTAACTAGCTAACGTTGCTTAGCTAACAACAAAGACGCATACTAAGAATTTCTAGTGCATGTTTTAGTGTATGAGCACCTGTAGACAATGCGTTTTAAGTTTAGTAGTTGGAGTGAATATTATTAAAACATAAACATGAGTTTACTCGTCGTAAAAACATGGCTGAAGATAACGTGGAAAGTTAGCGCTGTTTGTTACAGTACGACTTCCGGTGGCGAGCATTAACTTAAAAAAATTAAAGGCAGTGTTTCAAATAACTAAATATGTTTAATGGTAAAAATGTGTTAAGTTACTCTCGCTTGTTTCCTTAAAGAAAACATGCATCCAATTTAGAGGCGCAATAGAATCTCCATACATATTTTTCTTATATTACTTTTTTGACATTGTTTGAAGTAGTGAGGAAATGTCACATAAGTAGCCAAATGTTTGTTGGTCCTTTTTTGAGTATTCCCATGTTTTGCAATTGTATAATTGTCTGTTACATTGAGGAGGCTAACTACTGTTGAGTTAGATTCTATGGTTAGATTACATACAAACATAAATCAACTAATACATTGTGTTTACTGTTTGAATCCACTAATTTAATGTACGCCTGAATGTATCAATAATTACATTTCAGCCATTCAATAGCAATAGCTCACGACGCGAGCTTCGCGTCGGGCCGAACCACGCCCCTTAGCTGTGATATAATGAGCATATACCACGGCCTTTCGTGAGCTATTGCTTAAGTATATATGAATCTGAAATTGACACTTTTGCTGTTTGCAAAAAAAGCTGGACACAATAAATTATGATTTTATTTTGAAAAGTGAACGGAAGCATAACTGAGTCAGCCACCTGATAGCTTTCTATCTTTTCAGTAGCTCTCAACGACCGCTAATGCTACATTATTTGCTATGAGAGTATAACCTCACACTTTAAATACATATTATCATCCTTCTTGGAACATGTGGCTCACCTGAATGCTCCCAAAGTAAGCGGTCTGGCTCAGTAGGTAAACAATTATCCACAGGCCACTTTAGCGCAGCTTACTCACAGCTAACGCTAGTTGGTTAGCTACAGCACAGAGTCAACAGATGAGATGTGACTATGCTGTTGTTATGGTAACATGATGAACAGTGTTGACCACGCACTCGGGAAATGGCAGTTTCCACATCCACGCCATGGATGTCTAATAAGAGATCCATGCATTCAAGGAGTTTAAACTAAGTATAGTGTGTTGATTGTTGGAGCCCCTCTTATTGTTCTAATGGTAAAACATGTATTTGAGAACTGGTGAAAAGTATGCAATTACTCTTATCTACAAAATAAAGTCATTAAACGTGAACAAGGGTGTCAACAATGAGGGTTAAAGGAGGTGGTTTAGGTTGCAATATCTTCAGAATAATAAAATAACATCGGGTGAATCACTTGTTTATAACAGTTTATTATGATTGTTCTCCACACATTTTTAGGATGAAATAATAAACCTTCTATCTATTACATTAAATTAAGCTAACAGCTTTAAAACCAAACTAAACGACATAATGAAAAATTAAAAAACATTTTAAATAGCAGAAATGAAAATGAATCATCAAATAAGAAAGGTTTTGCTAAATACTCTTCTTCCTCTATTTATTTCTTCTTTTTTGATCAGATAAAGCATTCCTGTCTGTCATCTTCTTTTCTCACTTTTCTTTGCACAGTGAAAGGACTTTCATTACCGCAGTTATTTCACATAAAAAAAAAACAGAAATTCATCATATTATGCATACATCATCTCCAGGACACATAGCATATTGACTATATGTGCAATTAAACAGAATGAGTACGTTTATTTGGCCTTTTTTTTAACATTTTGATTATGAGGTTCTGGTAATGATGGTTTCCTTTTATTTTTAGTGGCTTGTGATGCAGGTTATGACAACGTAAAAGGATTGAAATGTGCTGATACGCTGGACACAAGACCAGGTCTGTATGAAAGGTAAAAACGTCCCTAATGACATCCGCAAAGTTTCAGACTCTTTTACCCTCTTGTACTTTATAGCTGCATGCACACTATATTACCATAAACATTGGTGAAATCAATAATATCTAATGTATGAGAAAAATACTTTTTGTTTTTCTCATACATTAGATATTATTGATTTCACCTGGAAAGTTCAAAACAAGAAGATGGCTCTCAGTCAAGACCATAACGTCACAGAGTCATGAACAAAGAAAGGAGATTATTAAAATACATTATTTTATGAAAAACAACACAATCTTTTAAAGAATAGGCTACAATAACAACGACATCTATAATGGCACCGGTTTTCAAAATTGAAAAAGTATGGCATTCTATCAAACTAGTCAATGGCTGTGCAGCTTTTCATTAACTACCTTGAATGCATACCCCATTGTCTCAATTGCCAACAGATTTTGTATGCGGTTTAATGCTTTTTTTCCTTTATAGAGTGATTGTTGGTCTCAATAATTTCCCTTCAAAGAGGCTTCAAAAGACATTAAAAGCAAGACTATATTTTTTAATTCACTTTTAAGCTATGGGATACAAATTGTAGTTGCGGCAGGATCCTAAAGCAAACATCCAGCTGAAGCTTTGAAGCAACTTTCCAATTTAACTTTAGTAAAAAGCTATGTGAACCATAATTATCCTTAGTATCATTTGTTAGGCCAATTAAACATACTATAGTTTGGAGAATAAGATAATTTTCTTTTTTATTTAAGAAAATACTATTCTAATACAGATGTACATAAGCTTACAGCCAGAAGCTACTTAGCACAAAGATAAGAAAAAGGTAGCTACCCTTGCACTGTCTGTAAAAAAAAGGTCCTCCCCATACTATAAATCAGCACCTAAAGTCAAGCGGTTTACTGCTCCTGGCCAACAAATATTTTGCTAAATACAAAGCTGCATTACCTTAAACCTGCATTCTTTCTAATGCCCAGCAGGGATTGCAAGAAGAGGTCTGATTGTATAGAAGTCTATGAGAAAATGACCCTACTTCTCACTTATTTATTACCTCACCAAACCTGTTAGTTTACTGGCTAGATCTTTACAGTCATCCTTAATAATGCATGGCATAAAAAACTTAAAATTTGCTCCCATTTAAAGTGAATTAAACAAAAAAGCAGCTTATGCTTTTGGGAAAGGCTTGTGATTGACAGGTACGCTGCCACACGTTCTAGGGTTCGGATAATGTCCCTGTTTTTATAATAGAACTTTTGAGCCTTTTCTCAGTCTGTTTTTAGTTTGCAAAAGTTAATTGTGTCCTTAAAATGTCGATGCTACATACCATGTTTTACAGCCAGCAGGCGTTGGATTTTTTTACTTTTAGACAGGGCTAGGCTACCTGTTTACACCTATTATTTCTAGATGGAGGTGTTTCTAGATCTGATGCTCCCTGCACTGCTCTCAGTGCCCCTCCTGTACGCCCTCTGGAGCCTCTTGCTGATAATGCCGTGTTTGTAAAGAGCTGAGAGAAACTGGTTACGGAACTTCTCCCCAACGAACGCATACAGCACCGGATTCACTGCACAGTGCAGAAATGCCATCACTTGGGTCACATGTGACATCACTTCCACTATGTAGCGAGTTTCACACGACTCCAGTGGAATTGTCCCGCCTTGTATGAGCGTGTCAATCAGGACAGTGATGTTATAAGGCAACCAGCAGACAACAAATACCAACACTACTGCCAGGATGATGTGAATGGCCTTGTGCTTTTGCTGATTACGTGTGTGAAACAGTTTCACCACAATCCAGCCGTAGCAGACAGCCATCACCACCAGTGGCAGGAAGAAGCCCAGTGTATGGCGCATTACTCGCATGCTAACACGCCAGTGGTCGCTGCTTTCACCAGTTAGGTTTTCGTAGCAAATACTACGGTTCAGTTCATCAGCATGCATGCTCTCCTTTTGAATTACAATAGGTAAGGACAGCATACCAGCCACCAGCCACACCAAACTGCACACCACTTTCACCAACCAGTGTTTGGAGGGCTGGACACGTGTAGCTCTCACAATGGCAAAGTGACGGTCCATACTGATGCAGGCCAGCAGGAAGACACCACTGTAGACCGAAGCCTCTTGAAAGCCTGACAGGAGTTTGCACAGGAAGTTGCCGAAGATCCAGCCAAAATTAGCATTGATGGCCCAGAATGGTAGGGTCAGACTGAAGAGAAGGTCAGCCATCGCCAGGTGCATCAGGTAGATATCTGTGCTGGTTCTCCCTTTGTTCATGTAACAAACCACATAGACCACCACACTGTTGCCTACAACGCTGAGGAAAAACACGATGAGGAAAGTGATCATTATGCCCAAGTTGTTAAATCCATGAACAATTACACTGCAAGGAGCAGATGCTTCATTCTCATGCACTGGAGATGTAGAATTGTAGATGGAATTGAAGTAATCTTCATCCAACGAAAATCCCTCTGTGGTCAGCAGCTGAAATTAAAGTAAATTGAAGAGTTTTTAGCAAGTAAAAGGACAACAGGATAATACTGTTGAAGCTACACTAGGCACTCTGTTATGACTCTTATAAGCCTTAATCACAGAGTAAGGTTATTCCAAAACAGAGTTTTTCTACAAATTCTGAAGTGCATGCACTTACCAGGTGGCCAAAGCCTGATTTAACAGCAGAAAAAAGCTATTTCCGCATTAGCATCAGCTGGCTAAACTGTAAAGCAACCACAAAAGGACAAAGACTGACAATAAACACGTTTCAGAGATGGAGAGAAAAGTTGCAAGTAGCTTAATAATAATAATAAATTATATTTCTATAGCGCTTTTTTTGAACCCAAAGACGCTTTAAGCTTTTTTTTTTAGCTTAGCCTTCTGCTAACTGTAACCGTTTTTTTGCTAGCTTGAGTCTCCAATAATAATATGACACATAAAGGGCTTTACAGGCCTACAGGTATGCAAAGAAAGCAGAAAGGTAATTTTGCAATATTTTTGCCGTACTCTCCCAAAGTAAAAACATTTAAGTAAGGTGTTGTTACATGTAATTAATTTACTTGATCAGGGAGAGTGAGAGTGTTTTTTTCTACTTTCAGTAAGATACTGAATGAGCCTACTTCCCAACATTTTACAAAAATTGACAAACTTAGTTGAAAAAGTTGAATAATGACTTCTCTTCCTTTTAAAACCTCGTAACCAACTTCAATTATTGTTTCAAGTTTTTAAGCAAACCAGACTTATATTACCGTCACCATTCAACAGAATTACATCTCACTTCATCGCAATAGCATACATTTACTGTGCTATTATTATTATTATTATTGTCTACACAATAACTTCATTTTTTTCACGTTTAACACAAATTGAAAGGTAAGATTTTAATATACGAATAACCTTACTATAACTTAAAAAAACAAATATTCAGATAGTTCCATTGTTTACCTGTTTCTCTTCTTCTTGATTGGTTGAAACCAAATAATTAAAAATACTGATGATCAAAAGTTGTAGCTTCATTTTTCCTTTCATGTTGCACAAAGGTTAAAAATAATACAGCTATTTTTGCTAGGGGTGTTGTCTTTACTTGTAGATGTGGTTCTAGTCCTTGTGTAACATCTGTACCGAGGAAGGTATTTGACACAACACAGATATTATCTCTGTTAAGCAATACAGAGTTTGATCTTACAGTTAGATGTGGATGTGACAGGAAGTTGAGTTGAACCTGCAACGAAAAGCTGATAACAAAACAGCCAGTATTCTTCTTTTCTTTTTCTTTTTTTTGTATTGTTTTGTTTTACTTTACGTTTCAATATAATTTGTATTATAAAACGGACAAGTCAAATCAAGCAATCTGATTGGTTCTTAGCCGTGATATACTGAGCGTATACCACGGGTAGAATTGTAAGTTACTTTTCACAACAAGTCAGTATCCCTCCGCGTCTGAGAAAAACAGTATACCGCTGGGCTGAAAAGCTCTGCCTTTCATACTGGAACAAGAAAGCAGCGGAGAAGTAACGGGGCAGAAGCCCTCCTTTTTTACGCAGCGGTCCAGACATAGACATCAAACGGCAAAACATATTCAGTGTGCAGTTCCTTTGGCATTAGGGCAGGGATATCTGGATACTTTTAGGTTTAACATAATGAATTGTGCTACTTTTAAAGCAAGCAACGATGTTTTCAAATCTGTAATCAAAGAGGTCCGCAAAAACGCTATCGACCAATCAGATTGCTTGATTTGACTTGTCAGTTTTATAAATATATTTAAATTTCTTCCGTTACGAAACAAACTTACAAAGCATAAAATGGAAACATTTAAGATTAACTTCGACCTCCGGGGGGGTCTTACTATAGTATGGAGGAGTGGATTGAGCAGTGACCTATCTACCAGAAAAAAAATTACCTAAACTACGACATGCAGAGCTACGTGAAGAGCAGGTAGACCAACTGGAAAAGTACCACCATTCAAAAGCTTTCTGATGCGGGTCTTGAAACAAGCAGAGAAATTATGACCGTTAGTGGCCACAGGTGCGAAAGCTCTCTCCAGAGCTACTGGAAGCCCAATCTCGGGGACCGGAGAAAGTGGAGCAATATTCTCGCCACGCCAAGCAACAGCCTCGAACAACCTCAACCTATACAAGTGACCACGTAAGCCATGCTACTGATGCTGGACAGTTTTTCAGTGGATGCACAATAAACAGCAACATACACATTAATGTAAATAAACAGCCAAATAATGGATCAACGCTCTCTGTCTAATATGTTCGCTTGCTGTTAGTGTTGTTGCATAGCAACACCTTGCATTATGTTTTGTACAGAAGTCAACTGAGTGAGTATTTTCATTCATATTGCCACACTTGGTAACCGTTTTATAAAAAGCAATAGCTCACTTCGGGCCGTGATAGCCATTGCTGAAATATAAAGAGCATATACCACGGCCTGTCGTGAGCTCTGTTGCTTGGATATCACTAGATCCTGTTACAGCGTA